AAGATGTTGTAGATCTCTTCAGCACTGTGTAGATGCTGTAAACTTCTTAACCACTGTGTAGATGCTGTAGACTTCTTAACCACTGTGTAGATGCTGTAGACTTCTTAACCACTGTGTAGATAGTGTAGACCTCTTTAGCACTGTGTAGATGCTGTAGACTTCTTAACCACTGTGTAGATAGTGTAGACCTCTTTAGCACTGTGTAGATGCTGTAGACCTCTTTAGCACTGTGTAGATGCTGTAGATCTCTTAAAGGGAATATACATCATTTGCTTTTGCTGTAATTTTCAGAAATGGATGGAATTGGGGGGTTGGAAATATAAAGCAAATATAGTTACACTGACTTTTTTGAGGTTTTGGGTTCGAAAATGCTATAAAAACCAAGAAAAACGATCATTTTCCTGTAGTCTGGTTCCCTGACTCCATATAAGAAGAAACAGAGCAGTTTACATACATTGGGGAATTGTAAGGTCAGGGAACCAGTCTAGCTGGCTCGTATCCGTTCATAGGTTTGTAATCGATTGCAAACAAGTGCAATGGTCAATTGGGGCCAGTATTTGAAAAAAAGCCAGTTGTTTCCAACGCTGATCGGCCGATCAGCGTTGGAAATTGATACAAAAATACCACTTTTCTTGAAAATGACAGTATACCAGGTGCCATAATTTTACAGGATGCTTTAGACTGTCATTTACCAACATCCTGTTAAGGTATTTCCCAAAAACTTGATAGTTTTATTTTTCGATGTTTGCAAATGTTGTATATTCCCTTTAACCACTGTGTAGATGCTGTAGACTTCTTAACCACTGTGTAGATGCTGTAGACCTCTTTAGCACTGTGTAGATGCTGTAGATCTCTTAACCACTGTGTAGATGCTGTAGACCTCTTAACCACTGTGTAGATGCTGTAGACCTCTTAACCACTGTGTAGATACTGTAGATCTCTTAACCACTGTGTAGATGCTGTAGACCTCTTTAGCACTGTGTAGATGCTGTAGATCTCTTAACCACTGTGTAGATGCTGTAGACCTCTTTAGCACTGTGTAGATGCTGTAGACCTCTTTAGCACTGTGTAGATGCTGTAGATCTCTTCAGCACTGTGTAGATGCTGTAGCTAGACTTCTTAACCACTGTGTAGATGCTGTAGACCTCTTTAGCACTGTGTAGATCCTGTAGATCTCTTAACCACTGTGTAGATGCTGTAGACTTCTTAACCACTGTGTAGATGCTGTAGACCTCTTTAGCACTGTGTAGATCCTGTAGATCTCTTAACCACTGTGTAGATGCTGTAGACCTCTTAACCACTGTGTAGATGCTGTAGACCTCTTTAGCACTGTGTAGATACTGTAGATCTCTTAACCACTGTGTAGATGCTGTAGACCTCTTTAGCACTGTGTAGATGCTGTAGATCTCTTAACCACTGTGTAGATGCTGTAGACCTCTTTAGCACTGTGTAGATGCTGTAGATCTCTTAACCACTGTGTAGATGCTGTAGACCTCTTTAGCACTGTGTAGATGCTGTAGATCTCTTTAGCACTGTGCAGACAGTGTAGATCTTTTTGTGTGCATGTGACCGTAAGAGAGGGTACACGATTGGATATGCCAACTATGTGTTCTGGAATTACATGACCGATGCGCATGCTTCCATATTAAAGTTTTGTCACGTCATGATAAGCAGGTTGTCCATGATCAATCTAGCTTCATCCCTGCTGCCTTGTGAGGGTGCTTTATTGGTGTAGGGTGTAGTGTAGCTACACGCAGATAGTGCAAAATTTTTTGGTCTCAAATCTTGCGGGGTATAACCTGTCTAGATGCATTATGTAGATTTAGTTATGTTGAACAAAGAAATTGACTGGAGTGGTGCTGAAGCTACGACCTCCGGGTTGCCGTTCCTTGAACGGTTGTCACGAAGGAATAATCTACGGATTATAGGCCTTCCTCAGCAGAAAAATGAAGGTTGCCTGTCTCTCACCCAAAACATCTTAAAGGAGAAATTCAAGATGCTGGACGTGCAGCTCCAACGTGCCCACCGTGACGGCCCTAAGACGGACGGCAAACCTCAACACCTTCTCATCAAGCTCAACTGCTACCGGGATAAGATCAAGATTCTTCAACAGCAGCGACAGGTCTTATTTGCTCCCATCTTCTGTACCGATGATCTCACAAGAGCCGACCTGCAGGAGAAGAGGAAGTGGTCCGCGCAAGTCTCTGCAGCATACAAGAATGAAAAAAAAGTATAGGTTCGTGGCTGGTAAGAGGAGGGGCACAGATGGTGCACTTGCCGACCTATACCACCAAGCTTAATCATAACCAGTCAGGCCTCCAGCGTTCATCCAGATAATAATAATAATAAAAGAACATTTGTAAAGCGCCGGTATCCGCCAAAAATAGGCGCTCATGGCGCTCGAGGAGAAAGTCAAGTTAAGATTGTGTGTTGTGAGAGTAAGCTTGTTTGTACAGGTGAGATTTTATGTTTGTCTTAAATGTTGTGATGGATGGAGATGATTTGATAGCCAGAGGGAGTTGGTTCCACACTCGGGTTGACGCTGCCGCAAAGGATCTGTCACCCCACAGAGTGGAGGTCCTGGGCTCGTGAAGCATCATGAGCTCACTGGAGCGGAGTCCGGTGCGTGCTGTTGAGTACGGGTGGATGAGGTCGATGAGATACTCCGGCGCATTGCTGTGGAGGATTTTGAACACGAATAGGCCAAGTTTGTATTTAATTCTGTATGATACTGGAAGCCAGTGGAGATCTGCTAGTACAGGAGTGATGTGAGAATGTTTACTAGTGAGAGAGATTAGTCTGGCACTGATGTTTTGTAGTCGCTGCAAACGGTTTAGTTGATTTAGGTTAATGCCATACAATAGTGAATTGCCCATGTCAATTTTGGATGTGATGAAAGCGTGAACAAGTATTTCAGTTGTGTGTTTGTCAAGATATTTTCGTATGTGTCCGATGTTACGGATCGACATGCAGACTGATCTAGAGATTGATGTAAGGTGAGGTTCCATGGATAGAGATGAATCAAAGATAATACCAAGATTTCTGACTTGATTTGATGGCATGATGGTTGAATCACCAACCCTTATAGATGGAACATGAACTTTGCACGATTGCTGCTTTGAACCTATGATGATAAATTCGGTCTTTTCATCGTTGAATTTAAGCCAGTTTTGAGTCATCCAAGAACGTACGTCATCAATGCATGTTTCCATCTGCTGGATTGCTGAATCAACCTTGTGTTGCATCCTCTGCTTATTGACTTCCTCATAATTTGCGTTGTATGAACTACCTTAGCTGCATGGCTTTCATCCTATAAACTGCATTTTAATCGTGTTCATTTGTTCACTTTAATTTGCGTTACTTACTTTTGTTTCGCTGCTGCTTTTAAGGGTTGCTTAATCAGTTTGCCTCTTAATCTCATTGTGATTGGTTCAGTGATTGTTATTAGTTTGTTCATGGGATCCCTCTCCAATTACGTGTGTTGTGCTTAGCCCGATAGTCATTCATGCTTACTGTTATTTATTTGGCTTTGCTTCATTTTAGTTCAGTATTTCATTTACATTTTTTGTAAGTCTCCCATTGACTCTATTTTTCCCCGTTTTTCCTTTCGCTTTTACATAATTGTCTAGTAAATGTTATTTTACTTTACTTTGTTTTGTCTGTGTTTTGCCTTTGTTTTATGACAAAATTTTGCTTGTTCTGAGATGTTTTCCGAATATACAGTTAATGATCTCTCTGAAAATAATGTTGTTTGTTATAATTTAGAAAGTGAAGGTTTTAATGCTCATGACATTCCTGCCCATGGATGCTTTTCTATTTTTTATATGAATTCCAGGAGCCTCTGGAGACATTTTTACGATATACAGGATTACCCGTCCACCTTATCGCATTGCCTTCTCCATTTACGGTTTCAGCGAAACCTGGTTCAGAGATAGCCCTCCTCTATACGTAACCGTGACCAATTACCAGTTGGTCCATTCCTCTCGTTCGCAAAAGCTTGGAGGAGGGGTGGCATTGTTTGTTGATAATTCTCTAAAGTATCGTATTCGCCATGATCTCATGACTTCTTTCGGTGGTTGTGAGTCCGTGTTCAGTGAAGTTGAGCGCGAATCTTCTAATCTGATTGTAGAAGATGTCTACAGGGCTCCTAATACCTTGATAACTTTCAGCAGCATTTTGACTCATGTTTTAATACCATTGCAAAAGAAGAATCTATGTTATTTAATGGGAGATTTTAATCATAATATTTTTAGTTGTTCTGACCATCAGCCCACGGATGATTTTGTGAATACCATTTATTCCTACGGTTTCCGTCCCCTGGTTGATCAAACTACACGCATCACCCCTTCTCTTTTATCAATCTATTTTTTTTTTCCATCCTCTTTCTCTTTGGAGAGTTTCAAGTATTTCATTTTCTAGGTTTTCAATACATCCAGTCATCCACCTATACACCTATTCCGCCTTCTGTCTTTTCTGAACGATCTGTTTTAAGTTCTGTTTGTAAATTTTTGGTCTAAAAAAGGCATTTCTATACAAGACGTTTGTCTTTTGAATATGACTCCATTATTGCCCCTTTTTTTCATTTGTCTCTTACATAATTATGAATCTTGTATTTTTTTCAAACATATATTGACTTTCTATATAGTTAATACCTGAATGTTTGCAATTATAAAAATAAATGTTGAGATGAATTGAATTGAATTCCTGTGCTAACCCAGCCGCTCTATCTGGTCCTGTGATGGCGGCTCCGACTTTGTCAGTGTGTTTTTGTTTCACAAAAGGTGCTAGATATAAGACATATTTTGCCAATTAGGCATGAATCAAACCTAAATTCACGATGTTAGCTACACTGGTAATGCTGCAAACCTGGGAACTATCAAATGGGGATCACTCGGAGAAGATTCCGCTTTTTCTTAATACCAATTTCCAAATAAACCTCTGTAATTCTGAGCTGCGTAACGCCTGCTAAAAGCCTTCATCACATTTTTCTGATTGTTTAGCTGCACCATCCCTCATCCCCAGAGTGGGCGCGATTACCAAACACGGTATACACCTAACATGGACACCGAGCACAGCATCCTCTCTCGGGGGCTACCGGATCACTTTGCTTGATAGCACGGGCAAAACCGTTAGGTTTGGTCCGTTTGGAGCAAGTACTACGTCTTTAACTCTTCTTGGCTTGACTGCGGGTTTGGAGTACCAGGCTACCTTCGACGAAGTGGTAGGTGAGGTCAACACGTTTGCCGGATCTGTCGAGGTAACCACGAGTAAGTTCAATTGATCTACACTACTCGTAAAACGTAATCCGGACGACATTAGTCTAGAAAACGCCTCTACGTGTAGTGTTCGGTTTGGAACTTACATGCGGGGACGGTTTGGTCATCCTCGACCTCAATCATGAACGTGTTCTTGACTTTGTGTTTGGCCATTGCAATCAGGTATGGCGTGTATTCTTGATATTTAATTCAGAAAAGAGATATCTGCAGATGAATTAAGAATGGAGATATCTCTGTTTTGGACGTACACAGTTAACATTTAATTCTTTTAAGAGAGATATTAATAATAGAGATATCTCTATTAATCGATAAAATAGAGATATCTCAATTAATAATAGAGATATCTCTAATACAGGGAGGGATATCTATAGTGGGTCATTCCATGTCAGACCAACGCACTTTTTTACCTCATGTCTTCCGATTTTAATAAAAATTGCTGTGCTTGTAGGTCCTAATGAGCAATGAATACACACCAATTTTTGGCCCGATCCGACCTACCATGTGGTCAGAGCAGAAGCCACAAAAAAATGGCATTTTTAGAGTAAAATACCATTCTTTTGGTATAAATATGTCAAAACTATGGCAATTTTCATCGAATATATGTGAATTTATTATTAAAATAATGAGGATTGCATGCTCAAAGCACTTCTTTTGTCAAAATTAAATTTTGTGAAAAGTAGGTCACATGACCTTTAATATGCAATCGTGACCTTTGACCCAATTTTTGTAATAATAAAAATCAGTTGGGGTCTTCAAAATTTACAACTTTATGACTACTTTTGTACAGTTGGTAGGTTACAAATGAGTCAATTTATAGACTTTACATAAGAAATACACCAACACAACTTACTATTCTGTTTCTTAAGTTACTCAAAGTAATCTAGATTTTTATGTATAAAGTACAAAGCCAGGAAAAACAAAATTCTACCTTCTGATTCCAAAGAAACTGTCTAATCAGAATATCTGGTCTCAGAAGTGTGCTAACCACTAACAGTAACCAGGCCTTCACCCAGTACAGCGGACTCACGTCCAGGTAAAATTCATCTCAAAGGAACAAAATGCCAAGTCTGTGAGAGTCATTAAAGTTCAAGAAGCACAGTGATGAATGAGTAAAGGTAACTTTGATTGTAATATTAAGTATTATCTTCAAGCAAACTTGAATCCTAGATCCTGATTAGTCTTTCTATAGCAACAACTGTGTGATTTTATATAATATTGCACAGCTATATTGCACCTCAGATATTAAAAATGTACGTGTACATATGTTGTGTTATTTCCTGCAGAACGGACCAATACACTACATGTATGCACGTACATGTACATCTTCACCGCGTGTACGCATTTGATATCAAGTTTGCTTGAAGATAAATTGGTTATAAATCCCACTTGCGCTCGTGGAACACGGAATGATGTAGTGCATCGAGTGGCATATGGGTCACAGCAGCATTGCATTATTTCATACTCCAAGCGAGTTCGTGGGATAACTACATCTAATTATCAGTGGCACCCAGGAGGGGGGGGGGGGGCTTGAACCCACCCCCAACATTGTCAATTTGTTTGTTTGATTTTAGGCTAGCTTTTGTTGGTCCAATCTTTTACAGAAATTTGAACAAAAAACCATTTATGACCCCCCCCCCCCCCCCCCCCCCCCACCAAAAGCCAAATCCTGGGTGCGCCACTGCTGATAATTTACACTATGAGTCTGGTTAGACCTCATCAGCCCTCAGAATGAGAAATTCACAAACCAAGATATATTTTAGTAACTTTAGAAACAGAATAGTAAGTTGTGTTGGTGTATTTCTTATGTAAAGTCTATAAATTGACTCATTTGTAACGTACCAACTGTACAAAAATAGTCATAAAGTTGTAAATTTTGAAGACCCCAACTGATTTTTAGTAGATTCTGATAGAGAAAGACATGCTCTAGCAAGTTATTTTCATTTCGTTGATATTCGGAATGATACATTATTACCAAAAATGGGTCAAAGGTCACGATAGCATATTAAAGGTCATGTGACCTACTTTTCACAAAATTTAATTTTGACAAAAGAAGTGCTTTGAGCATGCAATCCTCATTATTTTAATAACAAATTCACATATATTCGATGAAAATTGCCATAGTTTTGACATTTATACCAAAAGGGTGGTATTTTACTCTAAAAATGCCAATTTTTGTGGCTTCTGCCCTGACCAGATAATAGGTCGGATCGGGCTAAAAATTGGTGTGTATTCATTGCTCATTAGGACCTACAAGCACAGCAATTTTTGTCAAAATCGGAAGACATGAGGTAAAAAAGTGCGTTGGTCTGACATGGAATGACCCTATTATGAATATAGGTATCTCTATTAGCAATTGAAATATCAGTGTTTACTCTCATAATAGATATACCTCTATTCTACTTGAGATAAAATAATAATAATCATATCTCTTTTTCTAATGGAGATGTCTGATTTAAGATTAAATGTTAAGAATGCACGCCTTAAAAGGCGCTAGACACGACGAAGACAGTACATGTTATTAGCATGATCATCGTCACACTAATAGGAAATAGAGGTGCTGAATGACAAAACACGACTTTTTGGTGACTTTTCTCACATCCAAAATGACATTAGTCCTACCACTCATTAAATACATTTTCAAAGGTCAAAACGGACAAATATATAATTATTGGGTCATTTACACCCTGAGTAAGTATCACGCTAACTCCGATCCGGATCTGTTGGTTTGTTTGTTGGGGTGTAGGGGTTTTTTTTTTGGGGGGGGGGGGGTTTGGGGGTTTTTTGGGGTTTTTTTTTGGGGGGGGGGTTTGGTGTGTGTTTTTTTAGGGGGGGGGGTTCCCTCACGTGGGGGAACAAGCCATTAATCGAAAATGTTTTAACATTGATTTTTGTTTATGTACAAATAACCATTCGACCCCGAAAGGTCGTTGGCCAGGTGGTAAGACATCTGCACTAGAAAGCAGGAGGTCGTGGGGTCGAGTCCCACCAGAGTGATTTTTTCCAACTTTCACTCTGGATGTATCGCCCTGAGTATAGAGTGTATATACGTCGGTGAAGGGCAAATCCTTAAATTGATTTACATCAACCAGATGCAAACTCCATGTTATGAATTAACGGGTTTATTTTTCTGTTCTTCAAATCTACCTGAAAAGTGCTTCCACGGAACGTTGTGAGTCACGGAGTGACTGACCGAACAGTGACTGTGTCCTGGGACACCAGCCTCTTTGGAGCCGCTGAGGGATACCTGATTAGCGTCATCAGCAAAGATGGATCATACACGAGGCTTGTCCCTGTCGATGTAGCGTCGTCTGGCGATCCGTACATCTTAATGCTCCCGAAGGCAAAGATCTATGAAGTCGGTGTGGACGCAGTGATCGACGGCCAGAGAGTCGCGTTGGGTGCGCTGGCAGATCCGATCAGCACTGACGGCCAACCCATGGGTAGGTCATGAAAACCGTGCTTAAATGGGAAAACGCTGGAAGTTTTCCTTGGCCCAAGGATTGTGGGAAGCCCAACGAAGCACAACCGCCCCCCCCCCCCCCCCCCCGTTGGATTTCACGTAGTATCTAGGAACTATGTAGGTGATAAAGCTCTAAATCATCAAGTTAATATTGGCGAAATAACGTCAAAGATGAAATGTACACTGTCATTTCTCTTTAAATTCAGGAAAAAGATGTGTTTCTCAATAGCTGTTTTGAAGCACTGTAAGAGCAATGTACCTTTGAATGAAAAATCGAGCTCAACAAATCGGTTAAACTTTACAGGCATTGAATACTATTTTTCAAACTTGGAATCATAGGCAACCCTAGAAATATCTATTTCTAGTAGGTTAAACTGATAATATCTTTGTTTGTACTCAAAAACAACCGAATTTCAAGGTTCTTTTTCTGAGTATTGACGCCGCTATTTTTCCAAATTTGGAAAAGACATTGAACTTATTGAAGTTTGCACTTAAGTGGTGTATATAATACATTATATCATGGATTTGCGGGTGGTAAACGTGCCTGCCCCTATACGATGGTGGTTTAACTCATTTGCGATTGCGGTGGCCTCTCCAGTCCATAGTTATGGTAGATACAAAATGTAATGGAAGTAACTTTTTGGAACTTATCTACAAATACTTGTTTATCTGAGACAACATCTTGTGAATGGCTTCTGCTTGGTTCGCTCTTATTCAGCCAACGGCAATTTCAAAATTCTAAGCCTTAACACTATGGAGCAAAGGCTGTTAATTATTGCTCTGAATACTTCTCTTAATAATTCAAGCCAGTCGGTCTAGTTTTGTCGAGTTCTTGATACTACTATGGTTGTTTGCGTCGCTGGCTATTAATAACAGTGCGTATCTTAATGCACTTCTGGGAGCCAAGACCAACAAGTTACGTAATGCCGTATGATCTTTAGTGACAATTCTAGGATTGTCATTAGCCTATTTGAGGTATGGCAGACACAATAGCAGGGCTCTGATTGATTTGGGTAAAGTCTTTTGTATTTACTCAAACCAAATAGCACCCTCCTATTATGTCGACCATGTCTCAAACAGGCTAATTGAGGGAGCCTAAACATTCGCAAAGCGGCAGGATGGCTTGACGCGATTTTTTTCATTCCACATAAAATATTCGCCATGTCCAAGCACTTTAGACTTGTAAGTCAGATTCTCAGATTTTATTTCCCCTCGAAAATAGTCCTCCAAACCAGGAAGTTCTGCATATGAATGTAGCGCATTCCATATCTAGGATGTGAAAGCCCAATTTATAAGCTTTATTTAATAAAAATATATTTTTCTCATTTTACTAAAATATAGCCTACCTTAAAACGTGATCCGTGTACAAAATTTGTTAATTGTGTTTGTGTTCAATATTCCATAACTCGAAACGAACATGAGTGATTCGACTGATTCTTGTACTACAAGAAAGTTTATTGATTGGGCTTTTACATCGTATATCTACAGAAGCGCTACATTTAGAACTTCTTTACGAAGGACGTGGCGCTATTTAGGTTTGATTTTTTTTCTCACCAATACCGTATATAAACACTATAAGTTGAGGAAAAGCTATACCTCAAAAAAGTCATTCGAGGTGCGGTTGCTTATTTGGCAGCAGACTGAACGATCGGTAAGATGCAGCCACCAGGAATGACATTTCCTTTTGTTTCATCCTCACTGCACAGAAATATCAGTTTCCGTCGCTGCTGTTGGGACTGATATGATCCAAGTGATGTGGGAAGCTTATGACGGTGCGACCTATTCCCTCCATATCACCAACTTAGGCAATGGCAACACTCGACAAATCGTGTTGCCCAGCCAGGCGACCACATACACCTTCCAAGAACTGGTTGCTGGTCAGCCATACAATATTATGCTGAATATCCATCTCAATGACTTGGACATGCTTAGTGATTCGATCAATGCCACCACAAGTAAGTTGGCTCTGTATGACGGTGCAAATTGGAATTTAGGACTTGATGAAAGTAGGAGCCTGCATGTATACAGCGGCGCGGTATGGGTCCTAGAAATCCATTTTGCGGAGGCGCACAGTGGCTCATCTTCTGTTGGAAGAAGAGGCACTAAATTTTACTCAAAGAGCGAGCCATATACATGTAATTTTACAACTCACGCACTTGGGTAGCATAGATTTAGAAAATATTTTGAATGAGTGCGAACTCCAAATGTTGACGCTTGAAGTACGTCATCAGCGCTTTAAACTTTCAGTTGCAATCTAGGTATCGATGTCAATGGCAGACGTTTGAGACGCTTGGTAACAGCAAACACACCAGTCCTTTTAAATTGTTAGCGTCATTTGGAAATGAGCACATTACCCTAAACGTGAAGCAGCAATAGAATAGGATCGGTGTGTTTGCTGTCAATGAACGTCTCAAACGTCTGCCATTTAAGGAGGTTTTAAAGTGAACTTATAATTATTAAAGGAAATACCATAAGGAACTGACATCCCAGTGTTTAGTTTCCCATGGAATCTCTGGCCATTTCCGAATGGGCTTATTTCTTTCTCTCTTCCACAGGACCCTTGCCGCCAACCGATGTCAAGATTCGGTCTTGTGGATCGTACACTCTCATCGCGTGGGGACCTCCACCCCACATACCCAGCAACATCTACAATGGTTACCGGATTGGTTTCGTTGAGATAGACGGGACGATGACCGTGAAGGATCTTCCCGTAGGCCGCACACGCCTCGATCTTCCTGTGGGATACTCTGGCACGAATATCTGTCTGTCTACGATAAGTGCAGGCCGAGTAAGCCAACCTGATCCGGCAGGTCCTTGTCAGAGCATCCTCGATTTTTAGTTTGCACTCATTTTTTGTTTATATCCCAAAAGGGTTGCTGTATGTTATTGACCGTAAGAGGGCGCTGTATATGACGCCAGTTTGGGATTACGATGTGTCGCGTCTAGTACTCAGCTGAGGTAACCTAACTTAGAGAAATTCAAACAATTTTTGTTTTTTAAAGGAATTTTCCAAGAAGTGCAACAATCGTCCTTAGTAAAGAATAGCAAAAACTTGCTTGTCGGACTTCAAATGAAAATTATAAAAAAAGTGCGTTATTATGTTTAGAATATGCTTTATTCCTATTTCCTTTGACCGCAATGACTTTGATCTTGCTCTCAAATCGTGGTATTTTAGGAAGCCCATTCTACTAAAACGATTGTGATTGTGGCTAAACAAATGTGATGTTATTTTAAGATAGTTAGTCATTGCAGAAAGTCAATAGTTATGTATTAGGACAATGACGCAGGTTTACCAGTCAGTAAGTAAATCTGCGTCGGTAAGTTGGGGTGGTGAGGGGATTGACCAAAATCCTCAAAGTTTCCTGGCAGGGGTCGGGGTGGGGGCGGGAGGCTCGACACCACATTACATGAGGGGCACGGTTCATGGTGCAAATGTGCATCTTATGCAAATGTGTGCGCTTAGGCACATGAAACGATTTGTACTCTTTGTTGTCAGTTTTTCAAAGCTATCTTATATATTTGAGCTCTAGGCAAGTTACTAGACAATATCCAAATCGTCATTTTTGTTTTGTTTCTCGCCACCCTGAAAATAAGGGAGGGATGATACAAAATGCCCCATCCCCCGTCAAAAAGTGTGGGGTGGGTTATCCTTCCCCTTTCTTTGGATGTACGCCCATGTTACGAGTATCATTGATTTGTTAGTGATCTTGTGGGACAACTAATCTCGCAGAGCACCCAAAAAAATGTGTCACTAAAAAAAAGTACTTTTCTTAAACTGAAGCTGAGATGGGATGCATTTGCGTTTAATACTCAAACTGAACTGTTTGTATTCGGGTTTCTCGTTGAATGTTATAACTGATAAAGTTCAAATGATTAATCAGCAACAAAATGTGTGAGCAAAAATTCAAATATCCAGGTGTTTGCCAAATGAATGAACACGATAAAGAGAGGAATGTTTAAAACAGACCGATATTCAACAATGGTTCCTGGTGTTAAGGTACACGTTGCGTTATGTCGTTATTTCGCGGAATCCAATAATCTTTTCCCTGTTCCTAAGCACGTATTTTGTAATTTGATTTTCTTTACTTTTTAAAAAAGGTTGTTTATTCCTTAGCTAAAGTTAGGTCTTTTGATACTTCAATGACTCGTTGTTATAATCACTTATTTTCAAATGTGAGGCTTTGATCAAATAAAGGTAGTAAGTCCACTTTCTGAATTTGTGGCAGACGTTCTTAAAGATATAGTCCATCATTTGTTATTTGTGTATTTTGTTCGTTTGAAGCAACAAAAGTGCTCAAAATCTAAAGAAGGGTGCTGAACAACTAACCTGATGAAGTTTCAGCTGAGCTTCAGCTGTATATTTCGAGAAAAACAACATTCTAGGATCTCGATTTCAAATCAAAAGTTGCCGAATCATGTTTTAAAACGGGCCTGAATTCAGCGTCCGTGACACGTTCTCACTGAGCCGATTGCAGCTACGCGATGTCGCGCACCGATCCGACGAATTATAGGGCGTTTTCGAATCCCTGTTCTTGACAACACTCGGGTTAACCCGACACGAGAACAGCGGTCTCGAACGTGACGAACAGACCCGAGAGGGCGTTCGCGGATCGATTTTTTCACTCCCCAGTTGATGGAGGGTTCGGCGAGGTGCAGCTTGAACAAAATGGCGGACTGTGCAGATTCGTAATTTGTTTTTGTTTTTTTGTTTTTTGGCTAATACCCTTATGATTGGAATAAGAATACCATTATAGTGCAGGTCTGCAATTTCATCCCCGCATGTCCAGTTTTGCAACAGTCGTCCTCGTTCATTTGGAATAGGCCTAAGTACAAATTCAGACGATTGTCGGCCATTTTGCATTGCTTTATCCGGTTCGTTAGTAAAAACGTCATACACGCGCGCCCACCATTGGTGACTAGCGCACATTGGCTACAAACGCTCGAGTTGCGTTAACTTCCGGTTCCAATCGTGTAGAGAGTGCTGGAGGTGACGTCACACTAACGAACCGGATATCGATGCGACACGCACTCGCGCGTTCGTAACAACCAGCTCGAGAACACGTTCTCGTGTTACACGCGTGTTGTCAAGAACAGGGATTCGAAAACGCCCAATGCAACGACGCGCGCGTGTGCGTCGTGTCAACGCATGCGCGCACTTCGCCGAATTAAAAAAACGAACTACTATTAAACGGAAATTTCCAACGGTGCTTCTTAAGACGCACCGTTGGAAAGGCCTTCTTTGGTGGATTTCTTCAAAAGTACAGCTTGCCAGAAAGAATAATTTCATAGGGAGTTTAGTCCCCTTACTATCTTTCAACCAAGTATGTTTTTCAACAATAATTACACCAGTTACTTTTTGGATAGCTGCAAATGATGGACTCTGGCTTTAATAGGCTACCATGCATGTAAACGTGCGTGGTGATGGTTTGTCGTATTTGCTGGTCCAAAAGGGGCTAGCCTACAGACTGACTGACTCGACCGACAGACCAACAGATCGACTGACCGACCGACCGATTCCCCCGATTGACTGACTTTCACATGTGATCTGGACTTGCTTATGCCTCACCTTGGCCATGTAATAGGTGTAATATCAATAACATATTTTCAGCCATCTATCAATTTTGTAAACAACTTGCATTACAAAAAATCTCCAGTGAAAGGCCATTCTGAAATTACTGAATGGAATTGTGAGCGCTCCAGGATCAGCTTTAATATGCTTTCCTCGTCTTGTTAAAATATTATTACATGGCGTGCTCGAAGCGATTGATCACGCGATAAGCCGCTAGTCATTTGCATTCAAATAATTGGTTATCATGACATGTTGTAATTGGATTCACGATCATATTGCGTGAGCGTGTCCTTTTATCACGTACTGCCCACAGGCGGAAGCTGATGAAATTATAGATTGTAGCACGCTGTACTGTCAAAGTGAAGCCAATGAAATATCAGCAAGTCATAGACAGGACATCCAGCCACAAGTACCTAGGTGTGACCATCACCAGCGACCTGTCGTGGAACCGACTGGTGTACGCGACAGCTGCATGGAGTCCTCACACAGCTAAACACATCTATTCACTGGAATCAGCCCAACGCCAGGCAGTCCGTTACATCTGTGGGGTCTATGACCGGACAACTAGCATCTCTCCACTACTACAACAACTCAAGCTGGATCAGCTAGCTATCAGAAGACATCTACACCAGTGCACCATGTTCTACAAAATTCACTACAATTTCGTCAATGTCAGTTTTCCATCTTGTATCCAACTTCACTAATCATTAGGCAGATTTCAACATCATCTTCACTACCAACCAGTCCAGGCATTAATACACTCTCATAATAATTCTCAATCTTCGTCCGCACCATACCAATATGGAACAGGCTCCCGCTGGAAGCAGTAATATCACCATCAGTTGCAGCTTTTCAGGCAGTGGCCCTTCCGGCGGTGAGAGACATGCGTCCCATCACCACCCACCAGCAACTCTAAGAAGTGAGGATGTTTTTACTTGCACTTGTATCTGCAAAAATGTTGGGTCACCTCGACTTCTCCTATTGGACAAGCAATGTGCTTTTTAGGAGTCTACACATCAAGCAAGCATCAAGCTTCTATACATATGCCTGGCTACCGATACATTTCCGGTCGCTAATCACTCGATCCGAAAAGAAGCCTATGGCCCAAAAAAAAAGTCTCCGGTTTCTGGTATGCGCGCGCGTCGCCGTAGCCATGCGCGTCGGCAAAATGAAAAAGGTTTTTTTTTTTCAATACAAGATGATGTCTCAAAACCGCCAAACTCACTGGTTTGACTGGAATCCTGCTGCTGCACAATTTTAACGTGTTTTTAGATGGGGTTATGATCTAGAATAAGCTTTATGTGGCCTCTCTGGACTCCCATATATTTGCACTAAGTTTAGTCGGGCACCATTTGCAATCATCAGCCGACATTTGAAGCCCCCCCCCCCAAAAAAAAAACAGGTAAAAAAAAAAAAAAAGCCGCGTCGCCGCACCACTTTTGGGGCAAGCTCCATACCAGAAACCGGAGACTTTTTTTTTTTGGCCTATCCAAGGCTTTTCTTTTCACGAAGAAACAGGTTTGCTATCAGTCTTTGCACTGATACACCAACAGTAGACCTTGGGGACATGTTTTAAACCATTACGCTTTCTCTTGCACTGTAAGGCAACTTGAAGATATTTCATTTACAGAAACATTCCATTTATTTTTGGCTAACCCCCCCCCCCCCCCCCCCCCGACCACTGGGGCTTTAAAAAGCTCTATGGTTGCGAGTATGTGGCTCAGACCCTGAGTACTATGTATTTACATCTTTACGATGAAGTCAACAGAGGGCGCTACCTTGTGTTTGCAAATCTACCTTCAAGTGCCAAAACAACGGATGAAAGGGATTAATCTCGAACTCATTGCAGGATAATTTGTCAGGAAGAAATCATAATTCACTATTCTATTAAAAATTCTAACCTTTTCCCACTGAGTTGGAAGGGCGTTGTCACATTTTTCGGACCAATTTTCAAAGAGTGCATAGCGTTTGTAGAGGGCGCAATATATACATACCGTTTTTATAGTTGCGATTGGTTATCTATTATTCCGATATCATTTTGGTATTGACCGAATGAGGGCGCTGTACTCCAGTTTTGGATCACGAAGTGTCCGTCTTTTTTCCAGCCTTCATACACAACTGTAATCAATGACCTTTAATTACAAAAATATAAGTACTTTACAAATTGAATGAAAATAACATGCCTAAAAATAACTTAAGTTGAAAGAAAATGTGCTCTATATTCATTTGTTTTCATTTAGCACTTGTACTAATGTTTCCGTGAAGCTAGGTACGGATCAGTAGCATTTTTCTATTTACCATGCTTTTGTCTAATTGACGGGAAAATGTTTTAAAATCTTGAATCTATTTGAGTTGACATTATCTGATAGAATGTTAATCGAGTTAAATGACGAATAAAATGGATGAAATGAAGGACGATCACTAAATAGAATTGAAATAAATAAAGAATAAAATCAGCTGAAGCCGGAACGAACTCATGTGGAAAAAAATGTACTAGCAAGAGAAAAATATATATTAAAAAAAATAAGATTGTTAAAGCTAATTCGCCGTTGTCCAAATTATTAGAAACATGAAAAATGACTTCCATACAGACACTCATGGTTCCCTTCCGGTAAATGCCGCAAAGCAGATTCCCTTATCTCAAATATTTCGAATTTCTTGAGTAATTATTGTCCGGCTGTGAACTGTAATTCAAGAACACAAGACTATTCCACGGTCTTAGGCTGCGGGATTCTTTGCACCCAACTGGGCGCTACAGGTCAGCCGCGGTCGTACTTCAACCTGCGGACATTGACATGGCCCCGCCGGCTCGTATCAACGCGTGCCGGCACGCGCCTGTCGTGCAGCCCGCTGGTCAGATGCGGTGATTGTGGTTTTTACAGCCAAAAAAAAGCAAATTGAAAAACAAATTGTCTCTTGTAATTTGTGACCTGCTCTCAAAGAATAGGAGTAGAGTCCTAAACAAAACAAAATGAGTTTTCTTTTAATGGATATAGTCCAGCAAATAAACTGTAATATATTTCCCTCGTAATGTTTAAAAATATTTCAAACTCGGCAGCTTCACTTCTAACGCAAACGATACCTAGTCCGTGGAAGAGTCGCTTGTACACAAGCGCAGATACGGCGATAAATGTGCAAAACAATACTGCGTCTTGGTCTCCAGATTCTGACCATTCAGCGGACGCCTTCTATCGGGTTTTTGGTGACCCGTTGTTGTATCACAAAAAAACTAGGCAGTCAAATCAACAGCCAAGTCCACAGTTCTGATCGTAATGACGTCACAATTTCTAAAGTCGACTCAGATCGGCATTTGCATGCTCACCTATAGCAGACGTTGAATACGGATCGGGCTCCGTTGAACAACAGATGGTACTCCGAGGGGAATGGTGTGATCCATAAAATATAAAGTACTTAAACATAACTAAATTCATTATGTAATATACATTATACAAAAACATAGGCCTATGTTAGCGTAACATCTTATTATACACATTTTTGTTTTAAATAACGGCAGCGTTACAATTATTTCTAAATTTTACATAAACTCATGCACATTTTGCTTACTTCGACCTTTAACTTTACCAATCATAAGGTACTGTATCGAGAGCTTAATTGCTGCTTTCCGAAATCAAAATCGAAATCTCAGTCAAATCTCATGTTTTTCGGATCAA